TTAAACCTGGAAAAAACCCCACAGACCCACAGTCATATAGACCAATAGCCCTTACATCTAATTTTGTAAAAATAATGGAGAAAATGGTTAATAATAGACTACGGTGGTATCTAGAAAAAAATAATTTCTACACACCAAATCAGAGTGGATTTAGGAAAAATAGAAATACTATGGAACAGATAATTAGAATTGATAATGATATTCACAAAGCATTTCTCAAAAAACATTTCACAGTTGGTGTATTTATAGACTTCCAAAAGGCATTTGATATGCTTTGGAAAAATGGGTTATTAATAAAAATGGCTTCACTAGGTATAAGGGGTAATATGTTGGGATGGGTAAAGGATTTTCTTAGTGACAGAACAATACAAGTTAAAGTTAATAATACTTACTCTGAAATATTTATAATTCAGAATGGTACACCACAGGGTAGTTGTATAAGTCCTACACTATTTAACATCATGGTGAATGATATATCCAATAATTTAAAGTACTGTGCTATGTCACAGTTTGCTGATGACAGTGCCATATGGTTATCTGGTAAAAGCACTAAATATCTACAAAAAAGAATACAAGAGGATATAGATACAATTAGTACTTGGTGTGATACATGGGGTTTCCTCATATCACAAACAAAAACTGTAGCTATGATATTTAGTAAGAGTAGTTCCCCTTGTATTAAACTTAAACTTGGAGAAACCATATTGTCATTTGTTAAAGAAGTCAAGTTTCTAGGTATGATTTTTGATTCAAAGCTAACATGGTTAAAACATGTACAATATATAGAAAGTAGATGTTCAAGAGTGTTGAACTGCATGAAATTATTAACTGGTACCAAATGGGGTGCAAACTGTTCTACCCTGAGAACAATATATATATCAATGATAAGGTCAAAGATTGATTATGGCTGTGAAGTGTATAACTCAGCCTCCCACTCTGTCAAGAAAAAACTAGATAGTATACAAGCCCAAGCATTAAGAATATGTGCAGGTGCTCATAAAACTGCTAGTATAAGTGGATTACAGACTGAAATTGGTGACCCCCCATATGAGTTGAGAAGAAAAAGTCTTATTACTAAGTCTTTTATGAATATATTTAGTCTCAATGACACAAACCCAACTAAAAAGAGTTTACAAGAAAACGCTATATATGAATTTAATAAGGAAAAAATTAAGGAAAATCAAAAACCATATTGTGTTACTGCACATGATACTATGAATAAATTTAATGTAGATACTAATACTGTATACAAATGTAAAGAGTTCCCAACTCCACCATGGCATGTTCTAAAACCACAGGTCAGAACTGAACTTACAAAAATTATTACTAAAAAGGATAGTCCTCACCTCATTAAAAGTGAAGGAAATATCCTCATTGATAACAAGTATAGTAATTTTTTAAAAATATATACAGATGGATCTAAGAATCCAGAAAACAACACAAATGCATGTGCTTTTGTAGTACCAGAACTTAAAGTTAATAAAGGTTTTAAATTGCAAAACCATGTTTCAATATTTATGTGTGAATTGACAGCCATACTTTTATCTTTATATTGGTTAGAAGAATTTCAACCAGAAAATACTGTAATATTTGTAGATTCACTGTCAGCACTAAAAGCTATCACAGGAAGTATATTCAAAGTTAAAACACAAATAATATATGACATTCAATATATATATAGTAAACTTTCCAAATTAGGTTTGAATATCCTTTTAGAATGGATACCCAGTCATGTGGGTTTAAGTGGTAATGAAATGGCAGACACAGCAGCTAAAAAGGCTCTATCAATAGAGACATGTATAACTAATATACCGCTTTACAAAGAAGATATCAAATGTTTATGTAAAAATTTACTAAAGAAAATGTGGCAACAATACTGGGAAAATAACACAAAAAGTAAACAACTACACACTATTCAAAATAATGTTAACTTTTGTATTACTATACCAAAGAGTACTAGAGAAAGAGAAAGAACTCTATTTAAACTTAGATCAAGTTATATATTCACTAATAAATTCAAATACACAATGGGTAAATGTAATAGTGAACTGTGTGACACATGTTTAGTAGTGGACGACATGCAACACTACCTGTTTAACTGTAGGAAGTACATACTACAAAGACAAAAAATGATGGAAAAGTTTGAATCAACAGGTGTAAAAGATCTCTCATATAAAAATTTATTCTCAGGATATTCACAGACACTAATCCCAATATGGGATTATTTAATAAACACGGGTATGCGATAAAAGTAAAATTATTCAGAATATCAATATACTAAAAAGCTAGCTATATATTTCTAGTTTCTAGTCTAAACTTTGTAAAAACATGCTTATAATTATTTTAATAGGATACCTATGGTAAGGGTGAGAATACCTACAGATATTATCAGTATAGGTAAACAGAAATGAAAAACACTTTAGGACTTGTAAATCATTAGTAAAATTACTTTTAACAAAACATGAAATATTAGTCACTGGACAACAATCCATGGATTTTAACAAGTATGACAAGAAGTATCAAGTATTCAAAATACTAATTACATTTGTAACAACTGATTAATTGAACTCTTGATATGAGAAAATCTATGTAAGGAAATGAAAATAAAATTGATTAATTTAATTAGCATTAAGTAGATTTTATTATAATTTTCTTATAAATACATGTACATTGGCACTCATACCACATCTTCCTATATCTATGTGATCATATGTAAAATATCATGCCACAGGAGTCTGACATATCTCCCAGAAATCATCAATCACAATCACTCTCTCGTCGGTCCATCCCAAATCAAATTGGGGACACAAACCTCACAACAAGAATTAACTGCATGTATATATATATGTACCTAACTAACACTATGAGGAATGTGATTCAGCTGCTGTCAATGGATAAACTATTGACACCGTAGCTAAAATATTGATAGGGTTATACATGGGGTCGACGGACGAGATGAGTTATCTTATTGTGGGATATTTTTCTTTGAGGGCACTGGCTTGCCAGAACCCCGGTCCTTGTGATATGATGATTTTAAGAACCAACCAGCACATTTTACAACGACCAAAAACAAAGCACCGTGTAAATACTAACCTTGTATTTATAGTATTATTGTCTATCATTACTATTCACGGCTGCTAAATCATCCGTTAGGGCTGGAACTGTTTGCTCACAGCCTCCTCGCCGTGTCTGCTTAAAGCACATGGTTACCACGTGGTAGCTTCACGGCTGCAAGTATTTACCTACAATGTTTATTTCTTTACAGTGCAAGGGAAACAACTCCAGTCTAAACGGGCGACACCAAAAACAATAATTTGGTAGATATATATTATTTACCTTTTTTAGTTTTTTTATTTCTAAATATTGGCTTTTTAATAGTTGTAACAGAGCTGGAAGGTATCATTTATCAGTTTATGATTTCTAAATATTAGAAATATAACCCCGTTGAATTTGACAATATACACTAAAACTTTTACGAAAGTTTTTTTTTTTTTTTTTTTTTTTAAAGTAGTACACTAAATCAAGTACTACCAAGATAGCACTCTCTGGTATCTATACTGTACATAACTGCAAAACATGAACACTTACTATTTATTACACACAAAAATGTCAAAACAATACATTAATCTTATAGATCCTAATTATACATACACGGTAATACTATATTTTTATTCTAGAACGTAAGTTTAAGAATCTTTTATAATATAAGTGAAGGTGCTATCTTTAGTCAAATTCAATATACAGAGAATCACAATTTACCAAGGACGTACGAGCCGCGGTATAATTGTATTAATGTATATACCATGTACGGGAATATGTCAGACCCCTTCTAGGATTTGCATATTTGGAAAAGTCAGATATGTCTATCCAAGAGTATTTGATACTTACAGTTCTCATGTATAAACAACAAACACACCTACTTACCAAATCATTTAATATTTATAAATAAAGCAGGCTAAGTTACAAATAACAGAAAAATAAGTCCACAAACATTTTTCTTCTCACTATAAATTAACCACAAGATAATTAAGATAATTAAAATACACACCATAGTTCAGATTTAAATATAAAGATTAAATTTAAGGGAAAAAAAAAAAAAAAAAAAAAAAAAACTCACAATTTACTATAATATGAATATATAATACAGGTTAATTCCTAAATAATAATAAATTTTAAAACATTTATTTGAAATGTTTTTATATAAGGTAATCTGGCGCAATACCCGCAAGGGTAGTCGCCATTAAACTCTATTTAGTAGTAGCAATCAGTTTAATTGAGGTCTGGAGCTGGCATGTCAGTAACTGCTAGTAGTCTGTTGTTATTTATGTATTATTGTCATTTTGTTTATTTTCTTTTGTTTCCTATTCTGACATCGGACTCGGACTTCTCTTAAACTGAGTTTTACTGTGCGTACTGTTGTACGTTTGTTTTTTTATACATTGGCTAGAGGTATAGGGGGGTTGAGATCTCAAAAAACATGTTTAACCCCGCCGCATTTTTTCGCCTGTCCCAAGTCAGGAGCCTCTGGCCTTTGTTAGTCTTGTATTATTTTTAATTTTAGATTCTTGTGTATAATTTGGAGTTTAGTATGGCGTCCATTATCACTGAACTAGTATACATATTTGTTTATGGGCCAGCTGAAGGACGCCTCCGGGTGCGGGAGTTTCTCGCTGCATTGAAGACCCATTGGTGGCCTTCGGCTGTTGTCTGTTCTATGGCCGGGTTGTTGTCTCTTTAACACATTCCCCATTTCCATTCTCAATTTTATTTGTGAGTCAATATGAAAGGCGAACCTCGGTACGACAATAAGGGAGTTCACTAAAATACCGTATTTCGGGCCATTGACAACTACTATGTATAAAAAACTTCTTTCAAGCAGTAAACATTTATTTTCATAAGCACTATGAATATTTGGTGTATAAACATTTGTATAAAGGAATTCATCTGTAATTCATTTAATATAGAGTAAAGCACTAAAAATTGATAATTGTAGTATACATTCAAACTAATGTCTCTGTGCTAGTGCGGGAATCTTGTTTAGGGATACGGGAGTCTCTTAAAACAGTTGAAGATGTTGACGATTTCTTTGTGGAAATTCTCAAAATCTGCAAAGCAAAAAACAAGAGCAATGTAAATAACTTGATACTTAGACTGTTTTATATTTCTTTTACCAATATGCTTAATTCCGTTTGATAAACTAAAAACTTAAATTTTCTTTTTGACACCCCTCTTTCCACATGCACACACTTACATAAAATAAACGATATGGGGGATCCATCCATGACACAAAATCAGTATATGCGCAGCAAAAAAGCACACGCAAAGGAACAGCACTTGTATTGCTATTCTTCATCTATACACGTTCACAGACATTCACTACAGTATCAATCATAAGTTTTTACAATGAAAGATAAAATAAAAGTGTACCTTCAGTCTAAGTTTCTGTGCAGCTTTGTGGTCGCCATAAAAGACTGTTGCTTTCGTCAATAGAGAAGAAAAAGCTTGCACTGACAGGCATCGTTCTATGAATTCCCAGCATGCATTTCGCAGGTCGGGAATATCAAACTCCGTAGCCAAACACAGTAGTCCTAAAATGAAATCATTAAGATTATTTGTTTTCGTTATTTCAGATTACTCGCATCCGTTATTTTAGATATCTGTTATTTCATATTACCAATCCGCTATTTCAGATTACTAATAACAACGGTATTTTGCCTTGATACAAAGATATTTTGAAGAAGAAAAAAAACACTTTACACTCTTTCTCGTAAAAGGCTTAAGCACACCACCTCTCACTGTAGTCCTAAAATTGTTTTCGTTATTTCAGATATCTGTTATTTCATATTACCAATCCGCTATTTCAGATTACTTATAACAACTGTATTATGCCTTGATACAAAGATATTTTGAAAAAAAAACAAAAAACACTTTACACTCTTTCTCGATCGATCGATTGAAGTTCATTGCTAGTTTACTACATATACTTACCAGTAACTGTTGATGGTTCCATTACTATCGACCCGCAATGGACAAACAACAAAAATGTACGGAATATATCAGCATCATAATTATCTATAATGATAGTCAATCTGTTGCACTTGTCCGGTTGGTTGTGTTTTGTTTTCTTCGTTTTCTTCTTCTGTCTCATGGTTTCTTTTGAGTGTTTCAAAAACATTACGAAAAATAACCTATAAATTGAAAATCAAAATTTAATATTTATTCGCATTTAAGGAATGACTGTGATTTTTTTTTGTCTATGAAGAAATAACATCAAAAATGTGGTGCACATTTAAAAGTGTGCACCACATTTTTGAAGTTATTTCGAATAGACAATAAAAATATTACAGTCATTCCTTATAATTTAATTCTAAATTCAATTTTTAAGGAGTAAATCATGAAAAAACATTGATGACGTCACGGTCACATGACAAACTTATGAGCTGATAGACAAAAACACTTCCAGCCAATCAGAAGACGTGTTACATCCAAAATTAATTTATACTAGTATAATAATTTTTTTCTTATTAAAGGTGCAAAGTGTTTTGATTTCTATTTGCTTATTTTTATTACATTGCACTATTTAGAAGACTTTCTTCAAGCGAACCATTTTGTATTTTACCAGTTTCTGTAAAACAATCGTGTAGCAGATGTGTATTTTTTCTACCTTCTGTAAGACAAATAGCACTTAGAATCAAGACGAACTGAAATGATTATCGTTATGACATGTGTATATTTCTCGGACAATGTTTGAATAAAAAAATCATGATGATGTCATTCACCTTTGACACTGTATGGAGAAAATGCAAATAAACTATGCAATAGTGACTCCTTTAAACAACATGTATATATATACGTTTTAAAATCTTACCTGCTTCGTGTGCTCAGAATAGACTTCAGTCCATAGACGGGAACTCTTTGGGGGCCTACGATAAACATAACATCGCATAAATCTGGCATCGATAAAATATATTGAATGTTATCGATCAATGTTTGCACGCTGGTTATTTTCATCGATTCTATCGTATCAATATCGTTATCATTACTAATATCGTCATCTTCAGATGATGAATACTTAAACGGAGTCGATTCATCAGACGATAAATCTGAATCATCAGATGGTGGTTCTATTTGCAATCTTTTATGGCAGTTTCTCCTAGTATCTTGATCAGAGATGTACTCCGGGGAATCATATCCCGACGAAAAATCTGGAAACATGAAATAATTTGAAATTTTATGGAATTTCCGAAAGTTTTTCAACACAGTATATGATTGATTGCTGTTTGCTTATAATGTCAAGATACAACTATATATATGACTCACTTTTGGATATGAACATACAAAACTTGAAGAAAAGAGGCTTTAGTAAGAACAGTAGTTTTTGTTTTCTTTGTAGCATAATATTAACCTCTTCTATTGTGTTTTTGTTATTGTCTTTACAACGATTAAAAAATGCATAGTGAGTGAACGTTTAACAGATATTATAATTTGTGAAAATGTTTACAAACTAACCTTCAGCCTCGCTTTCTAGGGATAACAAACTAACTTTTTCCTCTGCCAGAATTTGACATTTCGGTTTACTGGTATACATAATGTATGTTTCTTAAGCTTTGGTTGATGTAATGATTTGAAACCTAAGCTTGGGATATTTATAAGCTCATCTCCGCTTTAAAAGTTCAAAATCTGACATTCCGAAAATTGATCTGTCAGTTTAATGAATACTTTGGCATGGACATTATTTGGTATATGAAGTATTATGTTCCCGATCTAACTAACGGTAGTTCTCCGTTGACAAGATGACGAGTTGTCTTTTGGCTTGGAGTGATCATAATGTCATTTTATGAAGGTGTTTAATTACCCTATCGTTTATAACTCAACGCCTAATTAGCGTCATTATTCTATTGGTAATCTCTAAACGCTCAATTATAGTTTTCAAGTTTAATTGGCTATCTTTTAATTGCTATTGCATTTGTTTGAAAAGCTGTAGCAATTCCAACCGAGATTACACAACTTCCGAGCAAGGACCGAAGCTCATAAAATCGACTGGAATTGTAATTTAATGTAATTTTTTTTGTCAGCGTGTAGGCTAAAAAATATAAACCGATTTATAAGAAAAACCGAAGCCCTGATTTACACTGAAAAAAAATATGATGACAGCATTAGTGAGTTGTATTTTGAACCGTCAACCTCGTGAGCACTCATTATGGAAACACCAAATGATTTAAAAGCGCTTTTAACCACTATTTAGAATATAGCAAAGTACTCTCGACCAATGAAATTGTAGAATTGGATGCCTCTTAATTGTGAAGAATGAATGTAAATCATGTTCTTAGTAAGGGATTATCCTATTATTTGGGTCTATTTACAGTTCAAAACAAAGAGTTTCTATAAATGAGTTACAACTGCCCCGAAGCACATTTATCAGATTGAAAGGTTTTATCACAAAGTGATTGAAACTGACTAAAAGTTGAACTGTGAAACAAACAAAAATCTCAAAATAAGTTGAAGTTTACTGGTGCAGTAAAATTGGTACCGTGAATTTTATTATGGAAATATTAATAACTTCAAATTACTATAAAATTAAACATTACCAAAGCAATGCAAAAAAAAAAGAAAAAAAATCTTTCAGATAAAAAAATAACCTAAATCTTTAGCTTTCCAAAACTTTGATTACTTGATCAGAGGTTGGGGAGAATAGTTATTTCCAATAAATTATTCCGATAAAAAACAGGAATTAAATTTTAAACATATTAAAAACTTTTAAGGGCATTATTTTGAGCATTTCCCTGACATAATGAAACAGTATTTGATGTAAAAAGCCGGACCAAATTATTGGCTGTGAAATAAAATTTAGTTGTAACTCTAATGTATTAATTGATTTAAACTGTAAATAAAACAGGATAATTCCTCACTAATATATTACATGATTTACATTCATACTCACAATCAGGAAACATACAATTCATACCTTTTCTTTCTACTGTTGTGTCACCTAATATCTATAACGCATTTTTTTTAAAAATATTTCCCAAATGATAAGAAAGTCCTCACATCACTAAAACTTATCCATAAATGACATGCAGAAAAAGGAAGTCATGCATCAATTATAAACATAGCACTGACAATGAAACTCATTCTTGAATAGATCATTTGAGCCTTGAGCACTTTACAATATTCTAAGTTTGTAAGAGAATGATAATCCCTTACTTCATGATAAGTACTCGCTAACGCTCGTACTTATTCATGAAGAAAGGGATTATCATTCTCTTACATATACGAAGTTAGAAGGAAAAGAACCGGAGTGGAAATTTACCGCCCGTTCTGACCAGGTTACAGTCCAACTCACCTGGACCAAGGCCAATTACCCGGACACCACATCCAGGAACCATAAGCCGGCCCTGCAAAGGAGACAGAAGCCTCCACCAGGAGACGAAATGCCCAGCGTTTCACCCAGTAGATGGACTCCAAAAAAGCCGTATCTTCATCTGCTACCCCTGAACCTACCACCAGTACAAGCGCAGACAACATCTGTCAGATGCGAGCCAGGGACACAGTTATTGGTATACCACTAACACCAACAAAGTATCGTGGAGAACCAGAGGGAATCAATATAAAGACGGACATTGTCACCAGTCCATTCAACTCACAGAAGGCATGCCATCGCCGATACTTCTACACTCCATCCAAACCTAGAAGTAAGCATTGTAGGATAGATTTTAGAGGGGTTTGACATCGATGGCCCCGACCTACTTCGTACACCATCTCATACATCTCCTATATCCTTGCCAGATCCATAGGCCATTCAAACTGCCTTTGCCTTTACAAGAACGACCAGACATTCCGTACCAACCTCAACCACCAGGACGGAGCAAGAAAAAAGAGAAAAGAACAGCAGATCCATCACTGCAAGAATAGGTCCTTGAAGTCCGCAATATCAACCCAGATAGCAGGACACTAAAACCCAACATCATCATGACAGCTACCTACAACAATCAGTATAGATTACGTCTGTTGTGGGTTTCTGAGTAAAATGTGTTTTTAACGCTCATTCCTCCTACTGGGACAGTGGTATAACAGTTGAAAATGGACTACACTCAGATTGGTGTGTGTGTCAACGTATTTGTGTTACACCATACAGAAATTCCATTATAAAATGTTTTGCTACAATCTAATTTAAGGTTATGGGTTATAATTAAAGAACCCGTTTTCCAAACTCAATTTAAATCTATTATTAACTATGTCCTTGCCCTCATACCCAATGGTCTCTCAATAGAACCACAAGGGTTTACTGCATGTGATATAGAAGTATGGTTATTTGGACTTCTCCTGTTCTGATAGTACAACCCTTACTAAATGTGGGTATTCGTTTGGCTGTGCAGGATATAAATACGCAGGCAAGTCCGGTCGGAATTCAGGCGTTAAATCCGATGCCTCGTGTAGGGTGAGTGTCATGCTCTCTGCTAAATAACCCGTGCAACAACTCTTTGAGGTGCACGGTCTACTGTCATGCAAATAAACACTCATTTTAAATTCACAAACGTGTATACTTGCGTTCATATGTAAAAATAAAAGAAGATGTTGTATGATTGCCGACCCCCCATTGCCAATGAGACCACAAAAAACCAAATGATGTAGTTATAGTTAGCAACTATCTATGCGTTACCGTACGGCCTTCAGCAACGAGAAAGACCCATACCTCATAGCAAGCTACAAATGTGCACTTTTTACAACTGCAAGTAATGTACATCCATATATTAGACATTATACATTTTGAGACATTTTTTCTTATTGGCCAATCATGGATCTTTGTCAGTCATACAAGCATACACGTGCAAAAATGGTGCATGTGAACGGGGGTTCATGAACCTCTACTGTAATGGCAAATATTTCGTGAATTTTGAGGACGAATGTGTTAGCTGTGAGACTCAAAAAACAAAAAAAAATGAATGATTAAGATGCCTCCTAACTACTAAAATGTAAGCTTTTTTACAACCTTTTTCTCTAACCAATACCAAAACAATATTTCTAGCAGATAACCTATCACTCAAAGAAAAAAAAACGTGTGGAATTGTAAGCTTAGTCAAACTAAATAATCAGAGAGAAAATTTACTGAACAGAGTGGTAATTTAACTAGAAATTATAAATTACCGGTAATGGATGTTTGATCTGTTACAAGATTAACAGAAATCAACAAGTTATTTTTTTTCAGTCAAGTATGCAAATGCAAATTCTTCTTAAACTTCACCCAATTCCTCACTAAAAACGAAAGGGCTTCTTCTTTTTTCGACAAGACAAAATGAATGTATATACAAACAAAAGATATTTATTTAATAATTATATTATAATTTATACAGAAACAACTGGAAGAACTTCTCCCTCAACGGCGGCCACGTCTTTGCCGTTTTCAATTTTGTCAGCATTATGGTATTCTTTCTTCGTCTTATCTCTTAAACTAAGTTGTTCGTAATCTCTTCTTAATTTTTCCTCTGTCTTCCTAATTGTCCTTCTAATATTTTCTTCTCTTCTCGCAAGGACATTTTGTCGTCTCTCCTCGCTTTTTCTAGCAATATTACCTGTTAAGAAAGAAGCACATGATTATAAGGTTATTCCATATCTAACAAAAATAAATATATTGATTGATAAAAAGATAAAAATACGCAATGTACAACTAATTTATGTTTCAATCGTCGCATTATTTTCTATTCACACAAGTGCTCATGTCAAATATCAAAGAAATATGTATTTAAACTTGGTACCAGACAACACCACAGGTATATTTTTTCATGTTTTATTTTGTTGTTCTGTTGATGCTTTTTGGGTTTCGAAATGTTGTATTTATCCTGCAATCGACATTTCTACTATACTAATACAGGTGTACAGATAACACGAAGCGACATACCTATACTAGACGTATACAATCTCCTGGTATCCTGCTTCTGTTGCGAGCGAACGGTTATCTCAAATTATTGTTTACGTCACAGTTCAATTTGGGGTCCTCATTGCGGTCCGCGTTTAAGTCATGTCGATTTCTTTCAAAAACAAATTCAACGATTGGAACGGGAAAAAATGTACAAAATTAATTGCAGGATAAAGACAATAACTGTTTAGTGTCTTTAAATATCAGCTGTATTTGTACGAGGCTAAGAAACAGGTACTTCTGTTTCTTAGCCTCGTACAAATACAGCTGATATTGAAAGACAAT